TTGAGCATGTTATAAAAAACCGTTTGCTAATCGACTTGGATAATATAAACTTCCCGAACTGCCAACAACAAGGATTTCAGAAGAACCTCAGTTGCCTAACAGCTTCCTTTAATCTACACGAGACAATTTTCCATAATCTTGAATTTTGTAGTAAGATTTTTGTAGCTTTTCTAGATAGAAGAAGGCATTCGACACGGTCTGGAGACTAGGTCTCATGTACAAATTGTATCAACTAGGTGTGAACAGTAAATTATGGGTAATAGTCAATGATTTTCATACAAACACCAAAAGTGCTATAGTTGTTAACCAGCATCAGTCAATTTTTTTTCCAGTGTTGGAAGGTGTAAGACAAGGCAGTATGCTGTCTGGTTTATTGTATTTAAATTTTATTAATGATTTAATATGTGAAATTGAAAAATGCAATCAAAACTCAGGTATATACAGTATCAATTACTGCGCACCTGCTCTTGCTGATGACATATCTTGTATTGCCACATCCCCACTGTCTCTTCAACGCATGCTTGATGTGTGTTTCGAGTACTCTAGAAATTGGCGGTTCTGTTTTAACGCAAATAAATCAAATATTATGCAATTCTCCGTAAATACAAGAGAAAGCAATGTTAACTTCAACTGGTGTATTGGAAATAAAAACATTCCATTATCTGACAACTATACACATTTAGGTATAGAACTTAGTTCTCGATTCAAAACTAAGAACAGAACTATAAATGCTTGTAGAAAAGGTAAAAACGCATACTTTGCATTGAAGGGAGTAATGATTGATTGATTGTTGGTTGCTTAACGTCCAGTGGCAAATATTTCATGCATATTCAGGACGAGAACAAATTAACAATAAATACAATAGGTAGGTTCTGTAATAGGGGCGTCCGGGATTAAGGTCGGAGAAATTTAAACTGACACGGAAATGAGGGTATATTGGATAGGGACAGAAATTTAGCCTTGCAACAGGTCACCTACGGACCCCTCAAAGAGTTGTTGCAAGGGTTCTTAACGTGCAAAGAGCGTGGCACTCTCTTTACACGAGGCATCGGATTTAACGTCCCCATTCTGACCGGACGTGGCTGCGAATTTGTACATCCCGCACAGCCAAACGGACGCCCCACTTTAGCAAGGGTTTTACTGCCGGTCGGAGGAAGACCAATGGTGACCATACTTCTATTCCCCAGTCACCCTGTCTGTATTAGTTAAATTATACAAAACTGTAGTCTTACCGAGCGTTCTTTATGGCTGCGAAACATGGAGTAACCTCAAATCCTGTGATATAACGATGCTAAATTGTTTTCAACACTTCATTGTCAAACACGTTTTAGAAATAAAAACTTCTACCAGATCTGATATGTGCGAGAGCATTATTGGGATTCATCCGATTATGAGTTTTATTCACAAAAGAAAACTGTTCTTTTTTTCAAAAACTGTGTATGTTAGATAACAATTATCTTTCAAAAAGAATATTTTTGGTTCGACTATTTTCATTCCTCATAGACCCTCACCGCCGTCACTATGGATACATTCCTGATGTTATTGACATTTTAAAAACATATGGACTTATTCGATATCTTACCGAATATACTGTTACTGGGAGTTTTCCTTCAAAAAGTCAATGGAAATCGATTGTTCACAAAACAGTTAACGAACAGCAGTCAGTCAACTGGTTAAACCGTATTGCGTTAGATGACAATTTTATACGTTTTAAAAATATTCACTAGACAGTTTCTATGACCAACTTCTGGAAAAAAGCACAATCGTTTGCAGGAATACGAAATTCCTATTTCATTACAAAACTGTTAACTGATATACCAAATTCATCAGGAAATAAGTGCGTCGCATGCAAAAACTACTTTGATGATGTCTATGTACATGCATGTTGTTCCTGCATTTGTACTACAGAGCTGCGTGAATTGTGGTGGAATATGATTATTGAGAATTTTTCACTACAACTGTATTGCGAACTAAGTGAATATGATGATGAGGATGTTTATCAAATTTTACTAGGACGAATTCCGTTAAATGTCATTGCCGAACATTCGGAGTTTGAGAAGCTTTGCCACGCCCATGTTGTTCAATGTATGGCGCTTTTTATGATTAACCTTTATCAGAAACGTCTGAAAGCCAGGCGTGTATCAATGCGCCGAAACGTTAGTAGCTATCTGACCAAAACGACTAAAGGGATATAGCAATAGGCAATCATCAAAGTTCATCTTTGCCTGAGATCGTTTTAACCTTCGGTTCTTAATATTTGCTTCATTAATCAACGGGGATTTTTTAAATACTTGTCATACATCCTGTAATTCAGTCTACAACTTGGCTGATTTTTTGTTATCAATATCCCTTAGTTTTGTTTTTGTTTGCGTCTAATTCTATTTCAGGAATTGGTAGAAGGTCATTGATATAAGCAAAAAGTAAAATAACAAAAATACAGAACTCCAAGGAAAATTCAAAATATAAAGTCCCTTATCAAATGGCAAAATCAAAAGCTCAAACACACCAAACGAATGGAAAACAACTGTCATATTCTTGACTTGGTACAGGCATTTCCTTATGTATAAATGGTGGAATAAACCTGGTTTTATAGCTAGCTAAACCTGTCAGTTTTATGATAGTTACATAGTTTTCCATTATATTAATAACAATGTGTGAGCAAACCAAACCGACATAATAGGTAAAAATGTCAAAAATTGGGGTACAATAGTCAACATTGTGTCATAATCTTAATCACTATAAAAACAAACAACTATGTCAACAAGACCATGTTGATTAAGTGTTGTTGACATACAGTTTAGGGAATATATTTTATTCTTATCGCGTAGAAATTAAGACAATCATCTATTCTAATACAAAAAGATATAATTAAGAATGCAAAAAGACATGATAAACCAAGACAAAATTACATAAAGCGTCATTCTAGTCTCACATAATCAGCAGACATGCCTTTTTAATTAATAATTGAAATTTCAGCTTGCAGTATATAGAACATTAAACAACTGTGAATTCCTTTTCCTTTAAAGTTGTGAACAGGTTGTATAATATTGTTCAAATATATTTTTTACGCACAATTGTGGTAGATATGAACCAACAACTTTATATACGCAATTAGTATAAATAAGAGAATGAACAAAAATTGAAATGGAATTGACAAATGACATTTTTACTGGTCTCATTTGAACGCATTTAGGTTTTGTGATCCAAACCTTTTATTCCGATGAGATGATGATGATGATGATGATAAAGGGCTGTTTAACGTGCAGCGGCAAATTAATGTGCATATGCAGGACGAAAACATGATTAACTTAATGTAATATGAATATTAACCCTGCTTTTTACTAGACCGACACGCTGACCCGGATTTCAACGTGCTAGTTCACAAGGTAACAGTCCGCAGGAAGACTTTACCCGGACACATTACTCTAACTCCGAGCTGACCAGTATTTACTCTTACTCCTACATGCCGTGTACTTAGCGGAGAAGCAGCAAATACCAATTTTAAAGTCTTTGGTTTGACCCGGCCGTGGTTCGAACCCACGACCTCCTGCACTCGAGTGTTCCAATGAGCATATCATACCAGAAACACATAACAGCTGAAATGAAATTGGTGTTACATTAAGATAATTAAAATAAGGAAATGTGGTATGGTTGACAATGAGACAACTATCAACCAAATACCAAAGGGTAAGGACGTGAATTATCACAGTGTATGTCGTAACGCCTTAATCAATGTGTAAAACACATAACGTATAGTAAGCCATAGAATGTCCTGCTTTGAGGAGGCCTGTTTTATTCTAAAACGGTAAACAAAAAGTTAAAGTCCTTATCCATCGTTTCATTTGTTGTAATTTATAAGTCTGTTCAATAATACGGCTTAATGTTGCAATAATATCCAAACTTTGACACGATGAAGTTAAATGTGTTATTTTCTAAGACAATCAGTAATTATAGAATAACTAATCGAAGAATTCAAATAGAGAAAAATATTCAACGAGTGACCGAACAACACATTAGTTCACGAATGCGTGTAGCGCATGAGTTAATTATCAGTGTTGTTCGGTCACGAGTTGAATACTTTTCGATATTTGAATTCTTTGATTAGTTATTCTTTTTATTACATTGGCAAATGGCTTTTTTATGAAATTAAAGTAGAAAACGTAAGGAACTATATCTTTTTCTACGCATTCACTATTTGTTTTGATCCGACGTTATCGATGTCTTGACAACGCCTTTTGTTGTATGACGTCAGAGGAGTGAAATAACCACGTTTATTTCACATGTGAAATTATCGGTTTTTATTTCACTGGGAAATCAATGTAATTCATTGCACCCAATGTAATAATATTAGTTAATACTTTTGGAAATACCCGATAATAGCACTTATTAGTAATTCCAAATTTTTACTGTATCAGTTGCCAAATCGAGTTTTTAAAATAGACATGATTATTACCGTGTTTTTGATGGTGACGTCCAATCAAATAACAATACATGTCTGATTAAATCATGTGTTAAAATTAAATTCATTTGTTATCTATAATAACTCTTCCTGAAGATAACATAAAGGGAATTTACATTAATCACATGTAAACAAAAATGAAATTAGATGTTGCTTAAAGATGAACGAAACAGATTTCTCTGATGAAGAACTTACTATTTCTGCTGGTATTACAGTTGCAAGTTCAATTCTTTCTGTTATTGGCGGTATATTAATAATATGGTCATATTCGAGAATCACAGAAACTCAAAATCGAGTGAGAGATTTATTGGTTGCTTTAACAATCGCTGACATTTGCATTGCATTCGGAAACGGACTGGGAGGTGTACAGTTTTATTATTTGGATTTAAAACGGTCTCTTTCAAGTAATGTTGTGTGTGTTGGACAGAGCTTTATTACCACATCTTTCAGTATCTCATCATTTCTGTGGATTTTGTCAATAGCTATGTATCTTTTTCGTTGTGTTTGGATACAAGAAGACCCGTTTCTAACCAGAAAAACAATGAAACTCATTCATGTTATCATATGGGGAATACCAGGTACGTCAGCAAATAGTATCTTGATGTTTGTTTGTTTTTATATTTCATTGTTTTTGTGTTTTGTTTTTTAGTTTAAAGATTAGTTTTTGTTATTATCATTATTATTTTGAAGGAAGCTAAATATAGTATATTCATATATTACATGTTTTAAGAAAATATTATATAAACATATAAATATACATATAAATAAGAAGATGTGGTTTGAGTGCCAATGAGACAACTATCCATCCAAGTCACAATGTGTAAAAAGAAAACAATTATAGGTCAAAGTACGGCCTTCAACACGGAGCCTTGGCTCACACCGAACAGCAAGCTATAAAGGGCCCCAAAAAGACTAGTGTGAAACAATTCAAACAGGAAAACCAACGGTCTAATCTATATAAAAAACGAGAATCGAGAAACACTAATGAACCACATCAACAAACAACAACCACTGAACAACAGGCTCCTGACCTAGGACAGGTGCATAAAAATAAAGCGGGTTTAAACATTTTAACAGGCGCCAACCTTTATCCTAACCTGAAACAGTGGTATAAAATTACAACATAAAAAGACACACAATAAAATATCAATTGAAATGGCTTAACTTGATCAAAAAGACAATACACAAAAACAAGTATAGATTATTTGTTTTACTATGAAAACTAGCTAAGACGTTATAGTATATAAATGTATGCACATTTGCCTAAAATTATTTTTTACTTAAGGTCCATGTTTACTTTTATCACCACTTGTCGTCCATCGTGTGTAGTGGTTAACTTATCTTTGAAATCCCATAAAACACCAAAGCCGATCTAGACAAAACTTGATCAAATCATCTTTAAGGTATCTTGTTTACCAAGTATGACGTTTATTCCCTACAGGTTATTAAAATCAATCCAGTGGCTAAAATAGAATATCAGGGTCAAATCATGGTTGGTTGTTACCTCCTCAATTACAACAGAATGGACAATTAAAAAACGTCTTATGAAAACGATCAGCACGCGCTGATCTGCAACAACGACTATTTTTAGATGCAATTTAGTTTTCTTTGTTGTGTTTTGTGTACTGTTTGTCATTTCCGCGTTGTTAGTTTCTTGTCTATCATTGTCAGTTTGTTTTCGAATTATGAGTTTAAATATGCCTTTGGTATCTTTAGCCTCTCTTGTCCTATAGACAATATTCTTATCCATTTCTGGTCTTGTAGACTATTATAGATCTTCAGATTAGTCAAATGACCGGAGATCATCGTCAATGACTCCTCACTTTAGTTATGATCTGCTTACCCTTCTGGAGCACCTGAGATCATCTCAGGTTTTTGGAAGTGTTCGTGTTCTCAGTCTTTTGTTTCTAAGTTTTGCTTTGTATACTGTTGTTGACTTTTGGTCTTTTTCTTTTTTTGCCATGGAGTTGACAATTTATTTTCGACTTATGAGTTTGAATGTCCCTTTGGTATCTTTCGCCTCTCTTTAAGTAAAATTACCATATTGGTAGTCGTAAGACTGTTGACCTCATATAAACTGTACTTAACTGTTATCTTAATTTGAATTCTTTAGGAGTAATTACCTTGACGGCATATTTCTATGACAAGCTTGGTAATGGTACTTACTCCATAAATGGCGTATGGTGTTGGTTAAAGGTTCCAATAGATGAATGGGGATTATTCTGGATGCTTGTGACGGGTAAAGGATGGGAAATCATAACCTATGTTGTTATTGCAATTCTGTATATGATGATGAAAATCAAAACATATAGACAAGTGAGTAAATTCAAAACATGGTCGCCAATAATACATGTAGGCAATTTCATACACAGGAAACAAACAAACAAATTCGTAATAATCAACCTGAAGCAGATTTCAAATAGCAAAGGATATTGCTGACAACTTATGCTAAACAATGGATATGTAAAGACAAAATTAAAATCTTCAATCTATCAACGTTTTTTGACATTATGAAAGAGTAACAGAATTGTTTATATAGATGATTACCTAGAATACAAGTGTCAGGAATCCAAATTTAAGAATTTTAATATCAGAAGTCATTATAAAACAATTTCAGTAAAATATCAGAATAACAGATGCAGGCAAACAAAAAGCTTTGAAAACTAAAGCTGGGATAATATGAAGTAAAACACAACCAAAAGCAACTTTGTGAAAACCTCATCGTTTTTGAAAAATGGTGTAAAAGGGGTTAAGGGCGAGAAAGACTCTGTTCCAAAACTGGTACCTTTTTATGGTAAATGTAAATTCTAAATGAGCTTCATAAAGTCCAACTCGACTTGGTTGTTCAAAAACTATAACTTTCATTACAGCAGGAACAATAAACATGTAAAACAAATTTAGTGTGAACCATTGTATTTTCAGGGTAGACGATTTAACAGAAACGTTCTTCAGTGGAACCAAATCAGTAATGAATTGAGACGAGAAGATGAAATATACTGTATCAGCTGTCTTATCATTTACTGTCTACGATTGTGGGGAATTATAAGATTGATTCTGGGATTCGTTAGAAAATATAAAACGTTTCACAACAACTGGTATGACCATGTCATAAAACAAGCTTTATTATATCTACATTCATATGGAGATAGTGCGCAGGCGTTTTGGAATTTTATTCTTTTCTGTGTATGTGACAAAACCGTTCGCTCACGTGTAACATCAGCTTTTTGTAGAAGGCGATTAAACAGGTTCGGTGAGAACATAGAACAAAATAGTGAGAGAACTTCATTTTTCTAATTATTTTGCAATTTTATGTTTCTTTCTATTTATATTCTAAAGGTTGTTTACGTTTTGATATTGTCTATCATTAATTTACCCATTATCATTGTTCCTGAATCGCATAATTTAGAATAGAGAAATATCCAAGGAACATTTCTTCATTACAAAAACAAAACTCTTTCCATCATGTCAAACATGGACCCATCGGAGTTAATAACAAGTTAAATATTGAATATAGGATCTGGAGCATAATAACCTGCATTAATATAAGAATAAGGAGATGTATTATGATTGCAATGAGACAACTATCCACCAAAGTGCGAATAAAGTGGATGTAGGCAATTAAAGGCAACCGTACGGCCTTCAACAATGAGAAAACCCCATACCGTATGGTCGGCTATCAAAGGCCTCGACATGAAAATATGAAACAATTCAATTGAGAAAACTAAACTGCGCACTCAGTGAAATAACCTTTTAGGGTTGAAAATTTTGGATATTCACCTTATCAATGGGCCATAATTGTATATCATTCATAATACCGAGTGAATTTGCTAGAGCAACCGATGATAGATATCCATATGAACCAGAAATCCAGCTTACTGTTAATGTAGAATTCGTATATATATTTACTACTCATCTTTTAGTAATATGAACAATCTCACAATTTATAACCAATTAGTTTTCGTCCGCTTATGGTTTTAACATAGATATAGGAACTATTATATCTTCATAAATTTGCAATCAATATTGACCTTCAAGTTAGAGATTCTATACATGTTCATTACACATCTTTTAGTGATGTGCAAAAGTATCATCAATTCACTTGTTACATATCTCACAGCTAACTTTGTTCATAACTAGTAAACATGGACCTAGAATCTACAACATTTAATTGTCATCGACCTTGACCTTCATGCCAGATTTCCATCTAAGTAGCAATACCTTCTAGTAGTCCATGTTTACTATTTATGACTAAAAGTTGATTACTTTAAGGATCCCATATCCAATTTGGTTAGTCGTTAATAAAACAAAGCAGGTATCAAATTAGTCTTTAAAAAATATGCCAATGGTCTGCACTTATTTCTAAAGCAAACTGTAATACACGATTAGGACGTGTTTTATTTACAATTGTATTCACTATATTTATACAGAATATATTCATCATTGTATAGTCTTGTGAGGTAAAGTTCACTAACTATATTCCTGCATCCTTCCAGATGTCTTGAAGATTCGGAGGAAAATGTGGCAAATTTTCTCATTGGCGCATGATATTTTTAAGATTTAGGTTTTCTGCAAACAGGACGTAGAACATAGATGGAGTTGAAAATGTGTCATATGCCATGGCAAAAACGCACGAAGCTTGGTACGAAGAAGATTTAAAGGGTACTTGCCCGGAAAATGCAGCAAAAATGTGTCATATAAAAAGATGAACAATTGGGTGGACGGGGATAAAGCATGAGCAGTATACCCTTTTTTCCTTTGTGGGTTGCAATTCTGTAAATATAGACAATGCAATTTCCCTAAGGAACTCATTTTACATCTTAAACTGTGCTAGTTCTACTATAAAGTTTGTAAAATATTGTATCCTGCAATTCAAAATTCACATGCACTACTATTTTCGGCTTAGGTCAACATATAGGGTTGTGTGGCATATTTTCAACATTTATATGCCTCACACTTCTAAGAGTTCAAACTTATAATAAAATTCTGTACCACCCCTCCATTTATTTCACGAGAATTCAATTTGACAGCTATCCAACTGTATTCATACTGGTAAAATTCCCAAGTTGTGTCTCTATGAGAAGAAACATGGAGATCATATCTGGGAACCAGTAGGTAAACAAAACAAATATCCATGAATCAGAATATTAAGTATCTCCCCAAAAGATGTGTGGTTTGTGAATCAGCTGTATTTACAAAATGCAACCTGTAGGAGGTATAAATATGGAGCATACCTAGTCAATCAAGCATAAATATTGTCATGGTGACCTAGATGCTGAAAAAATAATTTTCTACTCTTGAAGTGAAGACAGTGTGTATTACTTGTAAAATATCACTTAGAATACCACACTCTGTTTCAATTATACATGTATATATATATTCAAATCCTAAATTTTACTTATTATAAGTGTAGAATTTAGGTCATGTTGGTACATGTCACTTGGTTGTATTTATTATGTTTCTAGTAATTGTGAACTATCACACTAAATACCATTATTTATCACCAATCGATACATGTGGTATAGGTTTATACAAGTGTACAAAAGGTCTATTCTTTAACAGTTTGTCAACGTGACATTCATGTTAAGAGATTCTATACACATTCTATTGATATGACCAAGTTTCCTAAATTAACCAGTAATATGAAACTAGACTATTAAAACTAGAATATTCGGTTAAAAATAGGTTCACAGTGTAAATTGGAATTTTTTGTCAGCGTATTGTTATCTTGAGATTTCTAGCTAATTTATTCTGAAACTTTGAGATTCAGTCATACTTTTTGAACTTATACCTGTTTGCAATTATATAAACAAAGAAATATCTTTATGGAATGTCTTGTTTATTTTTATTTATTTAATTATTATTTCATACACATATATTGCACAATTCTTCAAATAAATATATCATGTAACATACTACATGTTTAGAAATTAACTACAAATTAATCATTAACTGTGTATGTCCACATGGTAACCTAGGCTCAGATAGTAATGTGTACATTTCATTTAATTCTATCAAATCTATTTATCACTTAAACTAAAATATCATTTAACAAATTCCACACTGTAAAATGGTATATTTAACTGTTTGTATTCTTTAACATAAGGCCAAAAGATAGCAAAGTTAATATAGAACTTTTGTCATATATCTATGAGTTTATATGAAAAAACATTAATTCTTAATCTTTACAAAATGCTTTGCTCTAGTTCCATCCAATTGAGATGAAGAAGGGAGCCTTTTTTCAGGAGGAGCCTATTTTTTAGAAGGGTCCTATTTTTTAGAGGGTCCTATTTTTTATGTATCCACAAACAGTTTTATCAATGCATCTTATCTGTTCAGAAAGGCTTTCATTTTTTTTTTTCTAAAATTTTTTTTTTAAAACAAAAATTATATGAAATATTACAACATAGATTTCAATAAATTCAATATCTTTAAAAAGGATGACATTTATAAAAGACATCATATGTTTATTATACAGTATTTATTCCTTGTCTTTCAGTTTGTTCTATTGTTTGCTGTAGATTTGTATCAAACAGGTCACATCTGAAAAAACAAACAAAAATGTTTATAAAAGTAATACAGTAATGGGCAATATGCTGTTCATCTTATGCCCATGCAACTTATACCATCATATTTTTATGTCAATTTACCCTTCATCCCTACTCACAATGCTTAGAATTTGTATACATATTTGCAACTATTTGTTTAAACTATAACAATCTTTGCTGAATGAAAAAGAACTACTTCTACATAAATTTCAGAAAAAGCCTTATGACATAATATTACAGTTCTATGTCAATTTTAGATTAGTTTATGACACTTTTAATCATTTAAATACTTTATAAGAAGCAGTCTGACAATTTGGAAATTTGGATATTGGCTGAGAGCCTCAATAGATTTTTACCCTTTCCTAAAGAATAATATGTCAAACATTTTATTCAAGAATTGAATGCTTTTTTGTAATTTTATAGGATCGTTAAAGCATTGACAGAAGCACATTTTGTATGAATTGCAGAACGGCTTCAAACTAAAAATGTGCGCAAGATCAACAATTTTATAACCCTATAAAATTACCAGAAGAAGCATTCAATTCTTATTATGACATGTTAATTCTACAACCATGAAATTACAACAATTTTTTGTTTGTTTTCCTGTGCATTGTTGCCACATTGTCATGAAAAGTATGTCCTGTCATGAATGTTGAATTTTATTGACAAATACACTTTGACATTGGAAAGCCGTGCAATTGCTTTCAGCCAATCAAAAGTATGGATTCTTAAAATGTAATTATGAAGCTGTACATTCATGTTATTAAACCTTTGGAAAACTACAGATACCTAGAAAGATCAACAACTCATCCATCAAATTTGGCCCAATGCTAGAGCTCAGTAATGAGGAGGATCTTTTTATTATAGAATTGAACTAGCTGGTAAACTTCTTTACCTTATAGGCATATCCAAGGAATAAAATGGATTTTTTAATGCAAAATCAGCATAAATCTCATAAAGTCTTTTAAGAAACACATCAACACCAGTTTGCCTAGGATCTGCTATCACAATAAATTTAATTCCTGAAAAACAAAACCATATATTGTTTAATCATGATAATACAACAGCAGTTAGGAAACAAAATTTTTAATATAATGAAGACAAAGCCCAATTTCTTATATCATAAATGTGTATGTGTAATGTCATGGAAACTTGCCTTCTACATGTTTTGGTGAATAATCCAAAGATATTGGTCAATTTTCAACTAGTTTTTGGATCAGCAAATATAATGCACATTCAAATCAAATAAATAATTATGAATTTGTTTGTCTTTATGACCAACACCTGTAATGTAAACATATATTTGGTACTTGCCTGTGCTCCATTATTCCAACTCACAAATATGTGTTAAATGATGTAATTTTTGTGAATTTATAGTAAATTAAATAAATGCTATCTCTTGACCCCAAAATTTCTGTGAATATTTATAACATTTGAAATTACTTACTGTTTAAAATTTATATATATATATATACATGATATATACACATCAATTATCTTTAAATAAAAGGCTTCATTTTATATATTGTAAAAGGATTCATTTTCAAAAGTTTATAACTATGATTTACCTGTCATAGTCTGATGACAATGAAGTTTAAATACATCTGTCTCCAACAACTCTATACCAGAAGATCTAGGTTCTGGAGAAAGCTGGGAACCAATTGTAAATAATCTGAAAACAACAAACAAATCTGTTATTTACCTATCTATCAATGCCATAGGAGGCAGGTTTCACAGATACCGTAAGTAAGTGTAAATTATATAATCTGATCAAAATAACAAATCCTGTTTTGAACAGTTATTATCAAAATTTTGAAACAGCCATTTTTTAAAGAATTTTTTCAAAATTTATTTAACTACAAAACATAGGATATTCAACACAGCAGAAAAATAATCTAATTCAACTAGTTTGGTATGAGTACCTGAAGACTCTGGTCAGTGACAAATATGAATTCTATATAATGGCAAAAAGGCAGAAACTGCCATAAAAACAAGCATGTAAAGGCAAACAGAAATACAAAATATATAATATATATATAGACTTAAAGGAACCTGTGTTGGTCACCTCAATCTTGTGTATCTTCAACAATGGCTACTCACCAACTTTGTAGACTAGAATATAATTTACAACTAAATTCTCTTTTTTGTCATGTTTGTTGATCTTGTATTGCTGATCTTTTTTTTTGTTTTCAGTTTCTTTTCTATTTTCTAGTTTTTACTGTTAAATGTTATTTAAATGAAAATAATTGATAAAATTTGTCTTATAAGGGATATATCTCCTATAAGAAGTTGTCTAACATTGTTTTTAAGTAAACAGACAGTAGGATGATCTCATCGATGGGGAACATTTTTGCTTCATCTATAGCAGTTTTCAAGATAAAAGACAAAATTTTCGGAAGTTTGCATTTTACCCTTATGTTCGATTTTTAGGCATGAATATAAGCCATATTGGTTGGTAGGCCAAATCACAGGACACACATTTTTTAAACTAGACATCTCAATGATGATTGTGGCAAAGTTTAGTATCAATTGGCCCAGTAGTTTCAGGGGAAAAGATCTTTGTAAAAGTTAATGGACAACTACAGAAGACAAAGGACCATGTACACCAAGTGATGAGAATAGCTCACTTGACCCTTTAAGCTACTGTATAGCGGGTTATTTTCGCGGGGTGTAAATTTTCGCTTATTTTCGCGGATAGAACAAATTCGCCAAAATAAATTCCGCCAAATTAAAGGTGTACATGCAAAGGTATTGATAAAGTTTTAAATCCGCCAAAATAATAACCGCCAAAATATTTCGTATACCTAATTCAATGAAAATCGCGAAATTTTACACCTGTGATAATAACCCGCTATACGGTACCTACTGTTTAATATGTAGTAAGCTAAAATACACCAGTAACACAAAATCACTACAATACGTACGAATGAAACATGCTAGCCAACATAATTTTTTCATTTGTTGATAATTTTTGCCTCCCAAATTTTATGTTAATGGGGTAATTTTCTGGTGAAGATAAAACTTCTAAGATTTCTCTGCCATCTTGCAAATATCTTCCTTCTGCAGTAATACCATTAATTCCAAGTACACAATGACCAACTGAAATAAGAAGAAGTTAAATGTTACAGATCTCTTATAAAACATTGTAAACTTATTTGTCTGTTGTTATAGCAAATTAAATAAAATTGAGATGGAAATGGGGAATATGTCAAAGAGACAACAACCCGACCAAACAGCCAAAGGCCACCAATAGTAGGGTGCCTAATGTCCAATGAGTTTGAGTTAACGGATAAGACACGGCTGATTTTTTTGCACATTATAGGAAAATCAATATATTTTACAATCATGATTGTCGTTGTAAGTTCCTATGGTCACGATTTTCTAACTTTCATGTTTTTACAGGGGAACATCAGATACTGTATTTTACAGGGAATCTTTAACATGAAAAATAAAATTATTGCGTTCTTTGTAGGAAGTTAAAACAGTACCTATAATATAGTTTATATATTAAATATATCATATAACGAAATCGGAAAGTATTTAAGTGATTTTGATATAAGTATTTCAGCATTTTAGCAAGAGTAAAATTTTACCTGAAATTTACCCTATTTTCATTGAAAGCAAAATTATTACGTGTATCATCACAATATTTTTTACTCTGATTTAAGCAATAAGACACCGTGCATGTGTGTGCCAAATTGCATGAGTGAAATAAAAATCGTTTTGAAGAAATTAGCATTTAAAAACACAAATTAAGGCAACATTTTGGTATTGATTAAACACGGATTATCTCGTGCCATTAATAATTTTGTTGCTTACACTATAAGGTCATTAACAAGGACAGAGGTCACTCAAAACATTTGTCTTTTTTGCTTGTTGTGTGGTTGATTTTTTTTTTGTGAATAGCAAGCTAACTTTATAGATTGTCACTTTGTTTGGAGAAATCTGTTTTGTGTCTGTTTTTCAAAACTTTAAACTTTTTATTGAATAAATATTTTGTTATAATTGTACTATGTAGTATAAGAGTCAAATCGATCGGTTTTGTTTCACACCCAGAATATGGCACATCAAAAATCTTGTATGATGTTTTCTACCTAAATCCCACTAGGTGGGAAGGACAACAAAAATATACCACAGTTCGTGCAACAACAAAAAAACAGATACAAAAGACAGCAACCAAGGACAACCACTTAATTGCAGGCTCCTGATTTTAATCAGACATATACAGAAAATAGGGACGAAAGATACCAGAGGGACAGTCAAACACACAGATTGAAAACAAACTGACAACGCCATGGCCAAAAATAAAAAAGACAAACAGACAAATAATAGTACAGATGACACAACACAGTAAACTAAAGACTAAGCAACACGAACCCCACCAAAAGCTGGGGGTGACCTCAGGTGCTCCGGAAGGGTAAGCAGAATTTAGAGGGGTTAAACATGTTTGTGATCCTTCATACCTCCCCTGACCTGGACAAAGGTATAACAACACAGCATAAGAAAAATCTGCTGAAAAACAGTTTGAAATGTCTTGACTTATCAAATCGGCATGAAGGACAAAAACAACTAACATGAAGACAAAAAACACAAAGTACCGATATAAAGTACTCGGCATTAGGGTAGAACATTTTATATTCTGAAGAAAGGGATGGGGCTGATGGCGCGAAAATTTATTTTCACTTTTGTACACATTCATATCCTCAACTATCATGACTTTCCTGCATTTCATGTTGAAGAGTGTTCATTCTCATCCTGTCTTGTGCAAAGTCAATCATTCAGTTCATACCAGGCCAAGTAATTCATTTTCAAAATCCTTATTCCCTCCCTGTTTTCGAAATCAAATGAGTGTTCCCTTACTGAACACTAATGAAAGGACGTCATCAATAGTCTGAGAAAAGTATGATCATAAACATCATTACCGTAAAACTTCATTTTTTTCATAAAGGGCCTTTTTATAACTGACCATACGGAATGAGTTTTTCACATTGTTGAAGGCTGTACAGTTGCCTATAATTGCTTGCTTCCACATCTCCAAGTTTTATATTATACAACAAATATTACATAAAATTAACACTATCAATGTTCCATGTACAAAATGATGTAAATGAGGTAAGGTCAGATGAATTCTGCCACAAAATCACGTACACCTTGTGACCATTCCATACACCAAATATATTTAACCCACTACTATCTGAGACTGTACAGACTTGACCACTGAAACTTAACCTTATTCACTGATCCATGAAATTAGGTAGAGGTCAGGTGGATCATGTCTGATGGTCATGTAGACCTTGCAAGAATACCGTATATTAGTTACCAAATATAGTTATCCTAGAACTCGTGATAATTGAGACATTCACATGACGAAATAAATTGCTTCGCTGAGTGCAGCTGGATACGACCGCAGATATCCAACCCTGAAAAGTTGCAGCCAAAATGGACACATTATTCGCGCTTGATACAGGTCTGAATTTGGATTGTAATTAAATATTTGACACATAATAGGTTTCTGACACAGAATAAGTGTAGTCAAAGAACTTAAAATTGGTTATATGATTTGAATTTATATTCAATTTTATGCTTTTGTGTGAAATACACTATGCTGTTGCGAATTGCCCCCCCCCACCCCAAAAAAAAAATTTACCTGTTTTTTTTTGCTTTTGTGCAATACACTATACTGTTGAATATTAACCCCCCTCCCCCCAAAAAAAATATTTGAAGAAATTTTCTTTTTAATTTCTGAAATCTGAAATGAGAAAATTTGTAGCCACCCCCCCCCCCCACAAATTCTTATTTACCCCTCCCCCCCCTCCCTCCCTCCCCTCCAAATTTTTCAACTCCCTTTCCCTTATTCAAAAATAATCTCAATTCAAATTTCTAAGGGAGTTTGCAACGATAACTACTCATTTAAATACATCATAAAATATTAAAATATAAAATGACATACAGTCATGGTTAAAATTAATATTAATTAACAGTAACTTCTAAAAATAAATTTACAGCTAATCATCTCAAGACAATCATCATTTCTTAATACATAATTTACAAGCAGTGTAAGGGAGGTAATCAAACATATATACAACAGTATTCTTTAAATGGATTGGATTACCTCCCTTACACTGCTTTTAAATTGTCTAAATTGTCCTTTAACCATAAAAACCCTTGTTTTCCCCCTTTTATGCCCCTAATTGCTAAATGGTTTGAGCCATAACCCCCATAACCATCCCTTTGTTGTATGAAAACTTGTGGTATAATTTCAGAGAGATTCATACACTTAAACACAAGTTATTGTCTGGAAACTGCAAAAATGCTTATTTGGGCCCCTTATTTGGCCCCTAATTCCTAAACCTTTGGGACCATAACCCCCAAAATCAATCCCAACCTTATGTGGTTACATACCTTGTGTTAAAATTTTATTGATTTCTATTTACTTATACTAAAGTTATTATCCGGAAACCATCTGTCTTCAGACAATGCTGACAACGACGACGACGACAACAATGAGATACCAATATACGACCAAAAAATTTTTAATTTTTGCGGTCGTATAAAAAGCTATACAGTTTTTTAGCAGTCACTCAACCATGAATATGAGGTCAAGAATAATGATTATATGACGGAAACTTCTTAACACAATGCATCTATATACAAAGTATGAATCATCCAGTTCCTCTGCCCTCTGAAATATAAAGCTATACAAATAGTTTACGGTGTTGCCACCACCACCATCAGATTGTATTCTGTATGCCTCGCATTCTGCTTCTTGCGTCGAATGCGATTTAAAAAAGAACAACTGAAATTAGCTATCTTACCTAAACCTAGTCGAAGGGCTTTCAACTTAACAGTAGACAATGAAACGTAATAGCTACTACTAGCTTTGGTAATTTTTCTATGTTGTTTCGCTCTTATTAAAATTCTGATCTTTATTAACTCGCGTGCTCTTATATATAAGCTCAAATGAGTATAACGAAATCAGAGATCTATATTTTAATTAGATTGATGTTGTTTACAAGTGTTTGTAAAATACATCGATGCTGTACAAAACTTTCTTTTTGTAGATAATCTATAACTTCATGTCAATTGTAGGCCAATCTATGTTCAATAAGTCATGTACATTACACTTGATATAAGTGTGTAAGATGGAGTGATTAGCCTGCTGTTTCTAATTCTCATTTTGTTTTCATAACTTGTAACATAAACCCTCCCCTTTTTCACCATTTGCAGTTTGTTTTTTATTTCTGTAAAGCAAATATATACTCAGACCTGCTAATTCAATCAATTCTGCATTAATATTCATCAGTTTTGGAACTAAGTACTATTTGATGAGCTTCCACTTTCACCAAAAGAAAATTGGATATTTACCCAGAAAGTCATGACGAACACCTTCTATCAAAAGACGGAAAAAATAACATTTTGGGAAGGCAACTTATAAATGTTAATATCTAAAAAACACCTCTTAACATGCTTATCGAATCTTATGCATGTTATGTAAAAATTCCGATTTTGGAACTTTTAAAAGGTCAAGGTCACTATTATTTAACAGCTGAATGAAAATTGTAAATGTGCACCCTATAAGTACAAATGTCAATCTCGAACCATATTTGGCAATAAAATTATCAAATTAGTCCTAAATATAGAAACTTTAGTTATAATACTTTGGATTATTCGAATTTATTTTGCTATAAGCGCAAGTATGTAGGGGTGGCCAGCAGTCTACTTGTGACTCTACGTTTTCCTTGAAAATTTAGATTTGACCTTTGACCCAAATTTAAGAAAATCGTGACCACTGCAGACAACGACGACATCAATATTTCGACGAGGCTGGTTCTCCTCTTTCCAATGATATAAAATATAGCCGTGTGTTATTCCGTTAACCCAAATCGATCAAATTTGATGACTGGGCACCCTTAACTACAATGGGTCTTCAGGTATAGAACCACTAATTCAGGCCCGGTCGGAAAGAACATACAAGAAAGTAGTACATATTTTAAACAAAATAGTTCCTACGCATAGCTGTATCTTTGTCAATAGTGGGAATATTTGGGTAGTTTTAGTATCAAATGAAAGCTTGGGTACTTGGGGTCACTGTAGAACCC